CTAAGTTGTGGTGCAAACGCAAATTGAAACTCGATTTAAGTTCACGACTTCCCGGGTAAACGGCAAATATCCCGAAAAATTTTTAGCTGCTGTTTTCCAGCCATTTTTCGATTTGGCATAGTACTAATCGCAAACCTCAACCTGACTGTACGTGTGGTATAAGCATGCGCAACAAGTGAATTTGAAATCTTTAGCTGACTCGTGAACAAGTGACATCAGTGTTAAATTTCAGCTCTCTAGCTTGTTTGGTTCTCGAAATCGTTTCCCGCCGTGAAATTTGCATATCTTTTTGGCGTCCGTACATGAAATCCAGATGTGTGTTCACGATGACTTCAGGTTGTAAGGATGACAATTGCTAGGGTCAAATTCGCAAAATCTTTGCCACTCAGCTTTCCTGGTTGCTGAGTTGAAAGTGACTGACGAAGTTCACCAGATTATATACACACACACACACACGGCTAGTCTCTCGACAACACTGTTTTTGCTCACTGTAGCAACGCTATAGCTTTGCAGAGCTAAAATGCATAAAACGATGTGCACTAGCTGGCCGCCACGGATACGTATTTACAAAATGCGCTTCAACGGGCTTTGGCGAGACGAGTATGTGGCACACACACACACACACGAATTAATCATGGCCATTTTTCAACCTACCTCTTGCATAAAACCACAAATCAAGCTTTTTTGGTTCTTCGTGCCAGAGCTGTAACCTCATCCGATATCTAAAAGTAAAGTTGTGGGATCAAGGCAAAGTGATATTTGGAAGCCAAGCTTGAACTGTGCAAATCGCACAGCGGAATAAACAAAACCCTAAAAGTTCGCTTTTTCTGCTCGCTTCATTCACGATTCGCGGAACTAGCTTGAAACTGGACCAGAGGCCACGGATCAGGAATATATTGTTTTTAGGCTGCCTGCTTGCTCCGTGCAATAACAAAAATTCTTTAGGGCTTTGAGCCCACAGCTTCTTTCGAGTTTGTTCACAAGTTATAGGAATAGCCCAAATTTCAATCTGAAATCGCGGGGTAGCTTGAAAACTGTTTTTATTGTGGCAGGTGTGCATGGAGGTCGTGTTTCCAAGATTTCAGCTTCCCACTTTTTATGATGCTTGAGCTGAACAGTGCGTAAAGGTAATTATACTGCATGTATGCACAGAGAGATCTTGCCTTAATACATTTCTACCCGAACTAAGGAAAACCGCTTACAGATATGACATCCATGTATTGTTAGATCCATCTTCTCTCGTGTTCACAACGAAATACGCTTGTGTGCTACTGCTGTGGCAGAATTTGATTAACTTTGATTCAAAAAAAGTATTCCAAGCAGCCTTCGCTTTATCATTGCGATGCTTTACTTTGGTGCTTTGATCACCTGGAGTTCGTACCGCGTTTTTTAAACTGTACAGCTAACAACTTTCGACAAAATCATTAAAAAAATTTATCCAACTGTTATCAGTTTTATTTAAATGAATAGTGACATATGTTGCGGAACCAGCATGGTAATATGTTGTAGGTAAGGTGTTGAGAGCTCATAGCGACTGCTACAAAACAGAT